ACGTTAGTCTTAAGAGCCAGGGCAAGCATGACGCAATGCCACAGCTTTGGACCTTGAAAGCGATCCGCAACTTACTTTTACTAGTACATGAGAAAGTCTGGAAAGCTCCACAAGCGGAGCCCAGTGACCGACGTTCTTGTTCCCACTAGGCCAGCAACGTCCAGATACGGCACCTCCAAATTAAAGCTGAAGGAAGGTAGAACTGGATAGATAACATGTGGAGACCAACTCAAGCAGAGGTCAGGGGCTTGGTCGAGGTTTTTTCAAACATTTAAACCAGTGGTTCTCAACTGATGAGTCGTGACCCAAAAAGTGGGTTGCGACCCTGTGTTCAGTGGGTCGCCGCATGCCTTCCACTTTTCTAGGCGAGAGGCTCCTCCGCCTCCCCCTAGCACAGCACTGTCAGTTCTCGCGTCAAGCAGCCATTCAAAATATGCTGCCTGGCGCAGAGTGTGAGCTTGAAGTGGGATAGGATGGGTCTATGGCCGCGAGGGAGCTCAATCCATACCTGCATTGCTTACAGCTCCCTCGCCTGTCCTGTAGAGGTGCCTGGACTGGAGTGACGTCACATTCTGGCTCCGGGCACCTCTACAGGGCGCGCAAGGGAGCTGTATCGGCAATGCACATATGGATGGAGCTCCATCACAGCACAGCAGCAGCCCACACTGGACTCCAGGCTGAGGATCTACTCCAGATCTCGCAAGGTAGGGAGACGGGATGAATCTTAAAAAAAAAGTGTGTGTGTGTATCTGTGGTTGTGTGTGTGTGTGTATCTGTGGTTGTGTGTGTATCTGTGGTTGTGTGTGTATCTGTGGTTGTGTGTGTATCTGTTGTTGTGTGTGTGTGTGTATCTGTGGTTGTGTGTGTGTGTATCTGTGGGTGTGTGTGTGTATCTGTGGGTGTGTGTGTGTATATCTGTGGGTGTGTGTGTGTATATCTGTGGGTGTGTGTGTGTATATCTGTGGGTGTGTGTGTGTATATCTGTGGGTGTGTGTGTGTATATCTGTGGGTGTGTGTGTGTATATCTGTGGGTGTGTGTGTGTATATCTGTGGGTGTGTGTGTGTATATCTGTGGGTGTGTGTGTGTATATCTGTGGGTGTGTGTGTGTATATCTGTGGGTGTGTGTGTGTATATCTGTGGGTGTGTGTGTGTATATCTGTGGGTGTGTGTGTGTATATCTGTGGGTGTGTGTGTGTATATCTGTGGGTGTGTGTGTGTATATCTGTGGGTGTGTGTGTGTATATCTGTGGGTGTGTGTGTGTATATCTGTGGGTGTGTGTGTGTATATCTGTGGGTGTGTGTGTGTATATCTGTGGGTGTGTGTGTGTATATCTGTGGGTGTGTGTGTGTATATCTGTGGGTGTGTGTGTGTATATCTGTGGGTGTGTGTGTGTATATCTGTGGGTGTGTGTGTGTATATCTGTGGGTGTGTGTGTGTATATCTGTGGGTGTGTGTGTGTATATCTGTGGGTGTGTGTGTGTATATCTGTGGGTGTGTGTGTGTATATCTGTGGGTGTGTGTGTGTATATCTGTGGGTGTGTGTGTGTATATCTGTGGGTGTGTGTGTGTATATCTGTGGGTGTGTGTGTGTATATCTGTGGGTGTGTGTGTGTATATCTGTGGGTGTGTGTGTGTATATCTGTGGGTGTGTGTGTGTATATCTGTGGGTGTGTGTGTGTATATCTGTGGGTGTGTGTGTGTATATCTGTGGGTGTGTGTGTGTATATCTGTGGGTGTGTGTGTGTATATCTGTGGGTGTGTGTGTGTATATCTGTGGGTGTGTGTGTGTATATCTGTGGGTGTGTGTGTGTATATCTGTGGGTGTGTGTGTGTATATCTGTGGGTGTGTGTGTGTATATCTGTGGGTGTGTGTGTGTATATCTGTGGGTGTGTGTGTGTATATCTGTGGGTGTGTGTGTGTATATCTGTGGGTGTGTGTGTGTATATCTGTGGGTGTGTGTGTGTATATCTGTGGGTGTGTGTGTGTATATCTGTGGGTGTGTGTGTGTATATCTGTGGGTGTGTGTGTGTATATCTGTGGGTGTGTGTGTGTATATCTGTGGGTGTGTGTGTGTATATCTGTGGGTGTGTGTGTGTATATCTGTGGGTGTGTGTGTGTATATCTGTGGGTGTGTGTGTGTATATCTGTGGGTGTGTGTGTGTATATCTGTGGGTGTGTGTGTGTATATCTGTGGGTGTGTGTGTGTATATCTGTGGGTGTGTGTGTGTATATCTGTGGGTGTGTGTGTGTATATCTGTGGGTGTGTGTGTGTGTATCTGGGGGTGTGTGTGTGTATCTGTGGTTGTGTGTGTGTATCTGTGGTTGTGCGTGTGTCATTGTTTTTAAGGACCCGTTCATACTATAACAGTGCGTTAATGGAACGGTCCTGTGCCATTAACGCACTGTACCACGCAATCCTTTGAATGGCACCCCAAATGCACCTCCCGCCCACAATTTAAATCACCCGCACCGGAACGTGCGGTACCGCAATGCCGTGCTTTCCATTGCAGTGCGACTTGGGTTGTGACTTAATGACCAAGGAGAGATGTGGGTCCTGAGGTTACACAGGTTGAGAATCACTGCATTAAACCATTATTTGACCCCTAAACTTTCCCTCCTCCTCCTCCTCCTCCTCCTCCTTTATTCTGAGTAATCTCATTGTTTCTTTCCATCTCCCTTACTATCTCTCCTCATTATCCAAGTTATCCCTTAACCGATTCAGAAAAAGATTGAGAACTGTGCGCAACAGCAATTAGATGTTCTATATCATAACTGGGTTCCTGTTCATTTCCACTTTACCATGTAAATGTTACATAACAGATCTGTTTCCAAGAAATACTGCTTGATGTGTATGAGCCAGAACCTTTGTTCCTATAATTACTCTTTACAAATTCCCAAAATAGATCACAGGGAACAAAAATCAACTGTCCGAGGTTGAACAAAGGGAGAGGTCTCATGGAGGAGTATGGAAATCTCATGAGCCATCCAAATATAATGTGAGGGGCACAAAGAATGTTTGTGTCCAGGACCAGAAATGTCATTATCACGGGTCATCACAGTGGCCAGACGCAGCGGTGAGCATTAAGGGAATGACTTCATTTCGGCCCCTTTCACACGGGCTTTATGATCAGTTCCGCCTGTCAGTTTTTCAGGCGGACCTGGTCGGAAGCCCGATGTTAGTCTATGTGCAGCTGCATGTAAGCGGACAGGCGTCCCTTTACATCCGGTTACCCCCAACACCGACCGGGTCCGGAAAAACGAGCGATCAGAGATCAGTTTCGCCAGACCTGACCGTGTCACGTTGGAGGTAACCGGATGTAAATGGATGCCAGTCTATTGACTAACATGGGGTCTGGTAATGTCAGCTTTGATGGAGGAAAAAAACGGCACGGACGTCACAACGGAGACAGCAATTACAAATCAGGGGGAGATCTGTGCATGGATCCCCTCCTGATCGGTCCATGAGAAAGGGGCCTTACTAAAGCACTGTGTAGCAAACAATTGCTATGTTGTACTTTCTTTTTGTTGTAAAACAAGTTTTTTTTAAATCCTTTTTTGTAGGGATTCACCGATACCGTTTTTTGGTATCGAGTACGGAGTACAGATATTTTTTTTTCCCCGGTACTCGCCGATACCAAGTACCGATACCGGAAGTCCCATTAAGGAAGCCAGGTGGCGTGTAATGATTATTATTATACAGGATTTATATCACGTCAACAGTTTGCGCAGCGCTTTACAATATAAGGAAGACATTACAATCACAATACAAATCAAGACAAGATGGTAAGGAGGGCCCTGCCCCTGAGGGATTACAATCTAAAAGGGAGGGGCAAGTGATACATGAGGAGGTAGCTGTGCGGGGATGAATTGTATGAGAAAGTGATTTTCAGTGGTTAGGTTGAGGTGGGATAGGCTTCCCTGAAGAGAGGAGTCTTAAGGGATCGCCTAAAGGTAGTCAGAGTGGGAGATAGACGGACAGGTTGGGGTATAAAGTTCCAGAGGATGGGAGAGACTCTAGAGAAGTCCTGGAGGCAAGTATGGGGGGCAGTTGACGAGGGAGCTGCAAAGCAGGAGGTCTAGGGATGAGCGGAGTGGACGGTTAGGGTGATATTATGAGACCAGGTTGGAGATATATCCGTGAGCAGAGTTGTGGATGGCCTTGTAAGCGGTTGTTTATATTTTGAATTTTATCCTTTGGGCTACTGGAAGCCAGTGCAGGGATCGGCAGAGGGGGGTGGGGGATGGAAGCCAGTGCAGGGATCAGCAGAGGGGGGTTGCAGACACTGAGCGGTTGGTTAGGTGAATGAGTCTAGCAGCTGCTCGCCACCTAGCTTCCTGATTAGCCAGGAAGCCTTCTCCATGCTCCCTTGCCACAAGGTGACGAGAAAGCATGGATCCGGCTTTCAGGCCAATCAGGAAGCTGGGGGGCGGGTAATGACTGGGCGCCCGGCTTCCTGATTGACCGGGAAGCTGGCTCCATGCTCCCTCGTCACCAAGTATCGGCACCGATATTGATACTAGTATCGGTGTCGGTGCATCCTTACTTTTTTGCATATCAGCACTCCTCATCTCCTGCAGCCTTTTTGCAGCCACTAGTCTACATGCATGCACCGACATTTCTCAAGTAGGTTTTTCTGATAGTGACAACAGTGGGCCATGCCTGTGCGATATGTGTCAGTAAGGCTATTTGTTGTCTTCATCAGGAGTTTGGGGATTTTCTTTCACTTTCAGTGATAACATTCACCAGGACAAATAGAAAAGGTGAAAACCTGACAGGTGCTCTAATGCCTCTCCACTCCATCCAAAACTTTGCCTTCCTTTGCGCTTGTGTGGAACTACAATTCACATGAGGCATTACAAAGACTGACAGCCACAGGCATGACTCCCAGAGGTAGAGGGCATTAAGGCATTTGTCACAGCTGAAGTACCAAAGTTGCCTGCCCTTGTCCTACATTATGTAAGCCTGCAACACCAAAACACTTCTTCGTCTCACCCACCTCTGTGCTGTACTGGAAGGCAACCGGAGCTCTCCGTAGAATCTCTATTGCTTCTGTATAAGACATTCTGTAAAAATAAAGCACATTTCTTTAGCAACAACAATAAAAAAAACTTGTCCAAAGGAATTTAATAAAATATATATATATTCGGGATGCACCGATATATCGGCCGCCGAAACATATCGGCCGAAAATGGCACTTTTGGCATAATGCCGAAAGTGCCATTTTCCTGCCGATACATCGTTATCCCCCCCACAAGACAGCACTCCCTTGTGCAGGGTGGCTGCTTTTGTATCATTCATTATAATTCAATGAAAGATTTTGTGCCCGGGGGTTCAGCTTTAGAGTGACAGATCCTCCTCTTCAGTAGAGACCAAATGCAAACATTTTACATAGGGACCCACTGAAATAACGTTTTTAATCCAAAACTAAAAAACTTAAAATTTGTCAGGCCAAAATCAATAATTTTTGTTACAATACTTCGAACATTTTTGAATTTTTAAA